TTCGTCAAGCTTTTCTGTATTATGAAATGAGCCTATTGTTTTTGGTTTACTTTGAATTTCGCTTTAGCTCTTTTTTTTTCAATTCGACTCTTCAAACAAACGCTTATAGCCCGTATTTTACTTATATACGTCAATTTTCACACATATGTTACACAGAAAAGGTACAGCAGTTGTATTACTTAAATTTAGTAATCAACTTTTCGATTTTTATTACAATAAATTACTAACGGTTACTACCACAATCCCAAAAAAGTCTATTCAATATAATTATTTGTTTGATGCTGTTGGAGTTTGAATATAATATTAATGGCAGGCAACACTTGACACATGATTACAGATTTCGAATATTAGAATTATTTTAAATGTTTAAAAAACAGCTGATTGTATTCTCGTAAGAAAAAGTCAGACTTCTCATCTTGACACGGTCAAAGAAACATGTAATAGTTTTATAAAAATATAAAGATAGTAATTTTATAATGGTGTAAAAGTGTTCAAGCTATCTGCAATATAATTGTAATGAAGCAGTGTATTTTTAAATAGCCCCTCATCACCTACAGAACCCAATCCCTTCAAATTTAACTGTCCAACAGATGCTGTCTTAATATTAATATTTTGTTTTTCCGAGACAATAAAAATATCACTCGAATCTTAGATTGCGTATTAAGAGATATCTGACACTATTCAACCTTCGGCCGCATAGTCTATGGTTTTAAATTTTTATTTCACTCAATCAGCCTTGACCTTCCGCTGTAACAATAACTAATTAAAATTTGTTGTTACAGTCATTTGACTAGTTCAATAATTTGTTAGTAGCAATGTCTTTGGTTATTTTTTAATTATCTTTTGTGTACAAATATACTACCTTACAGGTCTAGCTTTGTCAATGATATTGTAAAGATAAAGCCATTAAGTTTCCGAACGTGAGGTCAGGGTTTGGCTATGCGCGGAGCATTGCTGGCGTCTATGAGCGACAGGGACCACTCGCCATCAGGTGGGCCTCAATAAACAACACAAGCTAATTTTATAAATTTCAAAATATTTCAAGTGTAATAATGAGCGAACGAGTAAACAGTCTATCTGGTATTAAGTGAGCACTGTAGCCAATAGACATCACAAAGCGATTGATACGTGACTCCCTTTTTGACTTTTTTCCCGCGGTACATATACTGTTTTTTCTCCTACCAGGCCGAAAGTTCGACACCGTGGAATACCGAGCCGGGGCCCAGGGGCGAAGCCCTGGCCGGGGTAGTACGGGGGCCGTACTCATAAAAATAACAATTTAACTGTTTTTTAATTTTTAAATAAACTACTAATAATTGAATAAGAACTGTCTGATGAACTCATCTTTGTTTTATACTTTATTGCCTTTTGTTTATTTCACTTTTACACTAAACACAATATTGCAAATTACCCGAGCACAACAATGGCGGAGAATTTTAGGTGCGCGAGAGTAGACGTAGACACTAACGCGCATGCGCACTTGTACCCAGGGAGAAAAATTTACACTTTCTTCCCTGTACAGCGGGAGGAAAACCGAACTTTCGGCGTAGGTAGGAGAAAAAATTAATTAGATTTTGAATTTTACTAAACGATTACTGTTATTCGAACGTCCTAGAAATCGATTGTGTGAACACTCGTTAAATACGTATTTATTAAAAACTAATATCGGAATTCACCACGACTTGAACCTTAGCTTGATCGCAGTGACATCATTCGATATGAGCGAACCGAGTGCCTTACCAATTGCACCACGGACGCTCGTCTTTAGAAAGCTTTCAGATTTTTATTTCCAATAACGGAAATAAACTTTACCGCTTTCGAGTTGCATAACAACGTACATATATAAAACAAAAGACGAACATGGCGATTCTTACCTTTTGTTATGATTCGGGACGTTTCTCACAATTACATTGAAGATGTCCGTACGTTATTTTTTTTGAATTGACGCACTCTGTATAATTATTTATATAACCTATAAAAAGGCATGAATTTAAAGAATATTAGGATAACATTGAAACTAAACCACATTGAAATACTACAAGAATATAAACTACAAGCCGTACTCGCCCGCTTCGCTGGGCATTTAAAATTAACATTATTATTTATTGTCATTATTATTAGAGAGTCCACTCACACTCATATAAATATTAGCCTATCCAGTATATACATATTATATATTTTCTACATGGATACCAAGTTTCAAGTCAAGCATGGCTTAGTAGTTATAACGGAACATCCGAAAAAAACCACTGTAGATTTATATATTAGTATAGATTATATAAAAATATTTTAGAAGTGCTTCTGATAATGAAGAGTAACATATCTAACTTTATGAAATATACAATATAAAAACTGTAAGAATAACATTGCAATATACTACAATGTTAACCATCGGCAGGCCAAGCTTCTTTAGATATAAACGATACTGGCTCTAATAGACTCTTCTGAATCTAATAGACGCTTCTAGCTTTAAGCTTTAGTGCTGGGATCAGATACCTCCAAGTCATCTTACAAATGGAACCCGTCGAAGAGTATAACAACCTATCTCATAGCATCAAGTTCTGAGTCTGAGTTTCCCGCCAGATCCTCTCAGTCTCGCGATTCCGATCCAGTAGTAGATTCATTCGCGAAACATCTGCTGAGCTGTTAGGTCTTTCGGTACTATTAAAAAACACTATAGATTTGTACAAAAAATATAAGTAGCGATATACTAACAATAATAATAATAATAATAATAGTAAACATTTATTCCAAACATAAATTTACAAAAAATGAAACAAATGAAACAAAAATTATACCTGTTGGGAGTCAAATAATATAATAAAGTATTGTAAAGTATAAAAAAGATTTTTTCATACGATTCAGTAAATTTATGAAGTCTACATGTTAACGTATGTGCCATATGACATTTACAAAATAGCAGAAATACCTAACACTATGAGCCCTTGAATTTAGAATGTCTTTTTTTTTTAATTCTAATACAACCTCGTACAGTTTTATTCATATTTAATGCGAATATTGGGAAGATCTTCACAAAGCGTTCACACGTCCAGTTCGATTTATCACGTGACTTTTCTTAACGCGTCGGGGTCGTCGCAAAAGTGAAAGTCAGTTGCGCCGGTCACCACTTACAATCGAATAAATATTAACCCGTACATTACGTAATGACGATCAACATATCCACTTGATCTTGCGTATAACAAAAAGGTATAATGTCGTGTTTCCGCTATTGCCGCTATAACTAAAACAATGGAGTCTAAATCGATCGATTAATATAAAGATTAAAATGACTGGTGGAAAGACCTCTTGTGAGTCCGCGCGAGTAGGTACCACCACCCTGCCTATTTCTGCCGTGAAGCAGTAATGCGTTTCGGTTTGAAGGGTGGGGCAGCCGTTGTAACTATACTTGAGACCTTAGAACTTATATCTCAAGGTAGGTGTCGCATTTACCTTGTAGATGTCTATGGGCTCCAGTAACCACTTAACACCAGGTGGGCTGTGAGCTAGTTCACTCATCTAAGCAAAAAAAACATGAAAATATGGGATATAAGATAAAAGAAAACATCACGATTCAAATACACAAAGGTTTTATTGCTAATACGTCTTCACCTATATTTTTTCTTTCTAATTTTATCAATTACTTTTTTTTATAAATTAAAGCTCCTAGTACTAGGCACAATAATGGAGCCCGCTGAGTTTCTCGCCGGATCTTCTCAGCGGGTCGCGATTCCAATCCGGTAGTAGATTCATTCGCGAAGCAGCTACTCTTGAGTTGTTAGGTCTCCTTTGGAGGCGCTCAGGTAGCTGTAAGCAAATCCCACCCCTCCTGACTGAGCCCTTGCTCGCCCACCTGTCCTGATGAAACTGGAAAGGCCTCCGGATTACCAATAATACCTCATTCATAAAAAAAGGCACAATAATTCTACGTGGAACGTATGATTTCTTTACAGCATAAATAGCACATTTGTGAGCCAACACAGGTGGGTACCACCCGCCTTTTTCGAATATGAAGAAGCAATGCGAACTCATGTTTAAAGATAGGTGGCGGCATTTACATTATTGATGTCTATAAGCTCCGATAACCACTTAGCACCATGTAGGTGGTGACCTCGGCAACCGATGTCAAGCTATAAAGAAAATATGTTCGCAGTAGGCAGCGGCTTGGCTCTGCTCCTGGCATTGCTGAAGTCCATGGGCGACGGTAACCACTTACCATCAGGTGGACCGTACGCTCGTCTGCCTACAAAGGCAATAAAAAAAAAGATGGTAATAGCCACATGTGACTTTTCGACTTACCAGCAGTATACTTAAAATACTCGGAACTCTGTGATCAACTTTTTGATACTTAGATTATAATTTAAAATATCTAGAGACCCTTCAATCCTTTAGTAGCTGTTAATTGTAGAAATGTATTTTGGTATGCAAACTAATGCTATTGATATTACATATATTATTTACAAATCAGAAAATTACGTTTTTAAGGCGTACTATGATAGTAAAGATTACGTTAAAATTTATATAAATTACAGTAGATCTAAATTTACTATGATTTTATTTGGTATACTATATATTTTTTAAAACTTGGTGCATCCGTTTTCATATACGATTTTAGGATAAAAAGCCAAAAATATTATTTGAACAAGAATTCTGTAACCGCTAACAGCGATTAGATTAGAGATTCACGAATACAAAACTGTAACACACGCACTTACAACTCTTAGCACTTTGTGATGTAATCAAGTCGTTTTATTTACCGAAAGAAAGTAAATGTTTTGCTGCTGAAAAAGTGGGACGCCTATGTATTCTGAACGATCACTGTGTCAGTGGCGCGCCAATTTAGCGGGTGGACGGAAAATTGAATTTTGTCACTGAATACGCAATAAGCGCGAGGAAGATAGGCGTCATCGTCGGACGTAACCGCGAAGTTTGATAACTTTGGTAACTTTCTCTCGGTGGTTGGCTGCGGTACAGCCTGCGTCAGCCTCATTCCGCGTCACCCATCGAGCCAGCACGGTCGTCGCGACCGGTGTGCGCTCATCACACCACCGACTCGTGCACATTTATATTTTATTTACATTCGAATGTACAATCAAAAAAAAAAGTGATTCCGTTCATAGAAGTCGTGCTTCTCAGCTTCGTTTTCGTAGGGTAAATGTTCTATTGAGTGTCCTTTGTTCGTTTGACTATTGTTGGCGACAACATGGGAGCATTTAAAGCGTAAGTCGGATTATTTTTGGAATTAAAAAAAAAAAGTGTGGTGTCGTGGGACACCGGATAGGAACGAAGTTCCTTATTATTTTCCTTATTATTTTAATAAATTTTAAGCTCTATTCGAGGTATAAAGAAAACAATTCTTCTGGTATACATTTTTTATTATGATTTTTTATTATTAAAAAAAACTACTTTACAAAGTTATCAACTTTATTTTATTCACAATGATTTATAAAAAATATATAATACAAACATGTTATTTTTTGTACGTTATTACAAAGTTAAGTTGTGTGCATTACTAATAAAAATCTTACGTTACGGACGTTTTTTCCCGGTTAGGGTACCCCTTCGCAACGTCCCATAACGAACTTCGTTCCAAAAACTTACATTAATTTCCAGTTTTATCATTAAAACTCATTAGATTTATTACAGCGACGAATATGAACTTAGGGAATTAAAATGTTGACAATGACACTGCGCCAAATTAGCGAAATTCCTTTCAACTACAAAATGTAGGACAATGCCATTCGGGGCTAAGGTGAAATAAATATGATTTTCAATAAATTATACACTAATAAGAATGTATAAATAAAAACAACATTACCTATATCAATCTGTAAAATTTGTATTATATAAAAATTTCCAAAAAAAATAACACATAAAAATGTCTAAACCTTAACAAATAAAACATGTAAATTTTTGTTTTAATAAAAACACTATGAACAAAAATCAAAACCGAATCAATTTTTAAATATTCGAAATTATCGAAATTCAAAACAAATGAAAATGAAAATTCGACTCTTTCCAACCCAATCTACTACATAATAATATGTACAATGTATGTTCCACATAGATACGAATAGCTTCACCCCAGAATATTACATAACCATGTAATTTATTACGGTTATTTATTAATTTATTACGGACATCTTGTAGCTTCCTGGGTTTATGCAAATAAAAGAATATTAATATTTAATGTGTCCATCAAATAAGTACAGATATATCTGTGTAATTTTGACCTGTACCTGAACGTAAACAATAATATGCTAAAAAAACGAATTAGTTGAATCCTTAAAACTTTTTTTTATTGCGAGATGGGTGGACGAGCTCACAGCCCACCTGGTGTTAAGTGGTTACTGGAGCCCATAGACATCTACGACGTAAATGCGCCACCCACCTTGAGATTTAAGTTCTAAGGTCTCAAGTATAGTTACAACGGCTGCCCCACCCTTCAAACCGAAACGCATTACTGCATCACGACAGAAATAGGCAGGGCAGTGGTACCTACCCGCGCGGACTCAGAAGAGGTCCTACCACCAGTAAATCACCAACGGTTTTTCTCTTATTACAGCTATCTATCTATCTTAGTACAGCTTATTTCAAACTGCTTAACTAATGTTGTCTAAGAAACGTTAATCGCATCGAAGATGTTTTAGTAAGTCTAATAAAAGTCTAGGTCTTAAAGTACTCTTTTTAATTAGTTTATTTGTGATTAAAAACCATAGTGATTATAAATAATAGCACGAGAATTGTAGTCACACACATTTAATGAAAATTCGAAATGGCGGGAATCAATGCTGATCTTATGAGTCATAGAGAATAGAGCATAGTAGCATTAAATATAATTTTTATTTATGAAAATACAATACAGCTCCTTCACGATGAACAATAAATAACATACGTTAATCTGTCAACATAGAACGCATGGCAAGCATTGTTGTTAAACGAAAAGACCACATTTTAGTTATTCATTAAAAATTTAAATTTTCTACCATCAAATGTCAACAACCTCGTTTACACTGATCACTATTTACGAGTAAATTTATTAAAAGTTCCGCTATCCATCATGTTTTAATTAATTTTCACGGTGGATTCCATCCGATTAACAAATCCGCTTATAACGTTTTTTACGATATTTCGAATTTCTTCACAGATTAATATTTAGCCAATCGGTTTTTTTTTGTACGTGGAATGTATAGCTTAATTGGTTATTTCTACATATGAACACAAATAAATTTTATTTAAAAACCGACGTTGAATGAGTTTAGATTTACAATTAATTACATATCCGTAGGCAGCGGCTTGGCTCTGCCCCTGGCATTGCTGAAGTCCATGGGCGACGGTAACCACTCACCATCAAGTGGGCCGTATGCCCGTCTGCCTACAAAGGCAATAAAAAAAAAACATATAAGCGCATTCATTTTTTTTTTATATTTTGATACTCATTTTTCGAATTCGCCAATATTATATAGCTAAAAAATTAATATAAACACACAAGTCACCTTTGAGACCAATGAAAAGTGTTTCAACGCTGTGTTATTTCAAACGAATGCTAAATTTTCATAAGATTAATGGCAGATTTGTTTTATTTCTTCTTACAGCATACGTACGTACGGGTAACACACATTATTTCTTACAAATGTTCATTTATGTAATTATATTTACGTAATATTTGATGTTAATAGTCTATTTATTACATTACGTGTATTTTAAAATTATAATTAATGTATGCTTTGTATATTTATACAGGTATGTACATAAGTATTTTACTAGTTTATTAATTTACAAGAAAAATTGTTGATATGAATTCAAATGGAAAGCAGTCTACCTAAGTACTTCTTTTTTTATTTTTTTTATTGCTTATGTGTGTGGACGAACTCACAGCACACCTGGTGTTAAGTGCTTACTGAAGCCCATAGACATCTACAACGTAAATGCGCCACACACCTTGAGATATAAGTTCTAAGGTCTCAGTATAGTTTTGGTTTATTATTATTATTTTATTCTCGATGGGGTTTAGTCGGTAGTCGTTCTGCGGGGCAAGTGCTTCGCGCGCCTTTTTCAAGGCGTAGTCTCTTGCGAGGAATTCGGGGAGGTGGAGGACCTTCTCGTCCCCCTCTTCCTCTCAGGAGGCGCCGGAGTCCGACATAACCCGGTTCGTTACCCCCCCGGACCGGGTATCCGTAAATGGATTCCCCAGCGTTAAAAAAAAAAAAAAAAAGCGTGGGGAGTTCAAAACTCACCGGGACGCATCATGTCTGTATTTGAAAATAGNTGAACATTTGTTAAGTACGTATTGCATTAGAAAAATTTGTACCCGCCTGCGGGATTCGAACACCGGTGCATCGCTAGATACGAATGCACCGGACGTCTTATCCTTTAGGCCACGACGACTTCTTACTTACTTTGTTCTTATTTTCGGTGAATAGTTGTCTGGTAGACATCGGTTTGAGTAATAAAACCGCCCTGTTATATATAAAATAATAATTTGCGTAATTACTGGTGGTGGGACCTCTTGTGAGTCCGCGCGGGTAGGTACCACCACCCCACCTATTTCTGCCGTGAAGCAGTAATGCGTTTCGGTTTGAAAGCTGGGGTGGCCGTTGTAGCTATACTGAGACCTTAGAACTTATATCTCAAGGTGGGTGGCGCATTTACGTTATAGATGTCTGTGGGCTACTGTAACCACTTAACACCAGGCGGGCTGTGAGCTCGTCCACCCATCAAAACAATAAAAAAACAAAAAAAAAAAACTTTACGCTATGACGAATCTTTGTGTATTATTTGACCTAGAATAAACACTTTACACGCCCTTACGGATCGAAGGCAATTTTGACACTTCCATTGCGTTAAAAACAAGCTAAATAAACGAAAAATGATTTGTGTCAAGGATTCATCATTGGATATAATATTACATGTGCCTAATGACAACACAAAGCGCTTGCTCGTAATCAAGCAAAATGATTTACAGTAAAATTGATTGCTTCAAATCATTATGGAGAATGATGCAGTAATTAGCTTTTTTTTTTACTTGACCTCCGTCAGTTGAAGGTTTTCTAATTTAATGCACGTGCATGATAACAACATATTGAATATCTAACATATTATTAAAAATTAATGCGACTAATTTTATCAATGAGCCAATATTTTCATTATGTAATTTCTTCGATTTTCCCGAGTCGTAGATACAATTAAAACATTTTTTTTACCATTTAATCTCGGTTTTTACTGTCATTATATTATTTACAAAATTTCGAATTCTTTACAGTTTTCGTGGTCCCCAACGACTGGTTAAAGGGTAAAAGGTTTACAATAAGCCTAGTCGGTTCAAATTCAACTGGGTCACGGGACCTTGTATTCGCTAAAGCGGGTAGTAAGCCTAAGTCACGAACTAGAGCCTGTATACCGCCTAAAACACAATTAACTAAACTAAAAATAAAAATCGAAAAAACTTAGCAACTAATACCGAACTCAACTTTTAGAAATACTTTTAATTATTAACAATAGGGGTCTGCCTAAATCCCGACGTGAAACAGTCATGATTTTTAATTTGTGGTATAGGCCATATAATCGAATGCGCTTGAGATTTTGATTCCATGTGTCCAATTGGATGGTGACGCGATATGGTAAAACTGTGTAAAAACTCAAACGCGCAAAAAATATCATTTACGTAATTACTGGTAATAATCAGCGGTAAAGGTTCACTCGTCTAAGCAATAAAACGAATCTTTGTGTTCCGGTAGCTATCTAATTACGAGTATGTTGGATGTAGTCAGCTTAGCATCAATAAATATCTACCTGTGATTATCGTAAAAGGCGACTCGGGAATTTATCGTAGAATAAACAGTAACATTCACCAAGCATTTACTGGTGGTAACACGTGTTCTGAGCCCATATGTACCACCACCCTTTGGATCTCTTGTCTCAAGGTGGGTACTGGCATTCGCGTTATGTTATATATGAGAACCGATAAACAGTTTATACCGGCTGGGCTGTAAGCCCATTGATCCACCGTTATGCAGAAACGGAAAACCAATTAAAAATATACATTTACTCAAAATATACTCAAATTTGTATGGAGTTGGAACAGCTTCCTTCGTTTGCCGCTAGGGGCGCTGTTCCAACTCCATACAAATTTGAGTTAACTTTTACGCGATCGAGAAGTTAAAAAACTCGTATTTCGCACACAAATGTTGATCGCAAGGAACAACAACCAAGCTACTGTC